CTGCTCTGACATCAGATTTGTTTGTGGTTTGATATCCGGGTCTTCGAAGTAAGTATCATTCATTCCACGGCTCTTTCTAAGGTATCCCAATAGATCTCCATAGGGAACGTATTCAATCAACACCATCAATGGCCCTGTAAAGCATGGAAAACATGAAATATGTTTATACTAAGCAAGAGATCTGCTGGAAAATGATGATAATAATTGTTCGGGCTATTAAAGTATACTTTTCCACATTTACCAGATTTCGTGACACATCCCAAAAGTTCAATGACATGACGATGAGCATCGAGTTCCTTCATCAATCGAAGTTCGGACAACAAGCCCTTCCTGTCCGACTCAGAAGCGTTATCTGCAAGACGATCACCCAACAGCTGTTACCTTTACAAACAATAGCAGTAGCTGAACTCAAGAGAATGTCAGTTGACGTTCTCTTGCTGAACCGAATTAAGTTGCAAATTTCCTTTCTGTATCTGAGCTCAGTGTTGCACGGTGATTGAGCATCTTATTCAAAATCATAAGGTCGCGAAATAGTCATAATGCTATCAAATATCTCGTACAAATTTACCTTTGGGGCTTAAAAGTAAGGCTCAATAAGACCGACTAAATTGGGACTGTAATACTTCATTTACACTCGACATGTAAATATAATTTTTAACACTATTCCCAGTCGACAAATACTATAACAAAACCCCTCATTCCACTGCTGTACCTGTATGACCATGTTTTAACGATATTAAATTTAATTAGAATAAGACCTCTGCAAAACAATTGCTGAGCCGCATACACTTAGCAGAGACATTGTTTTTATTTTCCCACTGAGATTTAATGTTGAAAGAAACCACCCTTATGTCAATTTGAATTCGGAAAAAACAGTTCTTGAGGTTTGCTACCTTTGAATAGAGGGAGGTAGGAGAGTTGATCGTCGACAATAATTTGCTTTTTAATTTTTACTAATTATTTGAATTATTTGATACATTTCAACATCTTAACAGCCACAAGCGTCTTCTTTGGTATCTCCTGAAGGCCTATGACTGTTGCCTTGGCAACCTGACCAAAAGCACCTTTACCAGCGACCTTTTCTACAGTCACAAGCTCTGTAGGAATCTCCCAACAGCGCAGTGATGAATATAGAGAGGCGCATTCAGTGACAGACTGGCTCGGTTCTGGACAGTTCGCCCGCCCTGCATCTGTCGTGGAAGGTGACCGATTCTGCTCATCCAATGTCATGTACTGCTGGCTTTGAGAACCTTCCTCCATTTCAAGTCCAGTCTTTTAGTTTGAAATAGTAAACGCAGTCATTAATTAGGGCTACAGCGGAAAGTCCATCAAATCTTACTTTTTTTTTTCATTCCGTTGTTTATGTATACAGTTTTCATATGAATGTGTTGCACTATGACACTATCTTTCATTCTTTGGGAGTTATTACTGAGAATGCGTTAGTTGAATTAAAAAAGGAAAAGAAAAGAAAACGTGCTAGCTCGTATTGAACTTTCGATTTTGTTCAGCTGTTTCCTCTATTACACTGATGATCGTTCTGATTTGATGTGGTGTTCAGCTTCGTCTCTGCTATCAGTTGTACAATGTACCTGAGAAGCATCTTAAAAGAATTTTAATGCCATTATAGCTTTGCAGAGCGAGGGTGGAACAGATATGAACAAGGAATAACTGAAGACTAAAAGACAAACCGTCGTTGGTAATAAATAATTTCATCAAATGCAAACGACATTGTCAACACAGGACATTTTTATCCAAAGACACGAAACGTATGGCACTTAACAAGAGAGAGTTCCTGATTGGTGCGATTGAGCTTCAGCTATCAACCACACGCTGTCAATCATTTGAGCGTGACATTTCGCTCTTGCCGGAGAAAGAGAAAGATGGCGAACTCTGATCGTGAAGTTATTAGTTTTGACTCCGCTCTCGAAGAAGCACAAAGTGCCTTTCGGAATTTGACATGTCTCGCGCATTAAAATTGGAACAAACAGAAGCAATTTCCACACTGGTAGCAGGGTTTACCGGCCGTGTTACCAACCGGCTTTTAGAAAACCCTGATATTTCAGGTGTTGGTTCTTATGAAAAGAAATTATGACGGGAAACTTTCAAGCGTAGTTGTCATTTGTCCGCTTCAACGTATTGTTTATGATCAAATGGAATAAGCATCTTTGATCGGAATAACGGTAACTTACGCTTACGGATTGTCATATGGAGGATATAGAGTGCGGCCATTATTTGCGTCAGCAGAAAACGTTTTGGTGAAGCTAATTTTTCCCTTGATAAAAAGAAAACAGCCACACCGTTTCACCAGAGTATGCCAGTTTGCATCAAACGAATCGTGGCGGGTAAACCTTCAAGTGCAGTTGTTGGTTGCTTCAAAGTACCGTTTACGACCAAATGGAAGTAAAAACAACAAATTTTCTAGTAGATTAACGGCAGTTATACTCAAGGATTTTCGTTTGGAAGTTATAGAGCGCAGCAAATATTATCTCATATTTGTGACCGCGGAGGAGGTTTTGTCGAAGCCGTTTCTTTTCTTTAGCCGAAAAAAAACTACCTTACCGTTTCACTAATCAACACTACGTGTGCTTGTTCTTGTCGGAAGGCAGTACTTCCGGTTTGCTAATTTAACCCATATTTATTGGTTATCTGCCTATTATAGCATTTTAACAGCCTCTTCGGGCAGGCGTCTTTTCGCCCCTCCCCCGCCCCCTACCCCCACCGTCCAATCTAACAACAAATCAAACATGGCCGGTCGGATAAACGATCGCGAGCTTATACCGTTAGCTCGCAATAATAGGACACCTGCACTGCAGGCTAGGCAAGGCTTTAAATGGCCTTTTTTCTCTTAAAACTATAGGAGCTTGTACTTACGGCAAGATCCTCCATAAATTCAACAATTTCTTAGCGAGTAGAGAGTAGAGAAAACAAATTAAAGATTAAGGCTTAACGATGATTTAAAAGCCTTCAACGCAAACTATGTAACAGCAATCGAGGCAACCCAATTGATTTGAGAAAGAGGGTGCAAATAATTATTAATCAATATAGGGCTTGAGATCGTGACCGAAGTCTGTGCTTGAAAATGCTGCCTAGCCAGTAAAACAACATATATTTATGAAAAAATTTGCAACAAAGCTAGGAATATATTCCGCGACCCACGAAAGCGTTACTGTGCCCATTGGCAGAGGTAGAAAAATCCGGACTACACTAAGAACCAATCAGATTGAAGGATTCGTTACCGTGCCTTCTTGGAAAAAAAACAATGATTTACTGTACTGTACCACAATAAGGTTAAGAGTTAAAATCTTTAAGCGACTTACAACAGCAAGTCCTATTTCTTCAGTTGTATCTCCGTTTGTCCTAAAAGTAAAAAAAGAATATCACATTTTCTCTCGAATCTGATTTCAATCAGATGAAACACTTTGAAGATTTGTTCAGCTGAGAAAGCACACCCCTGAGCACTCCATGAGTATTATTCATGAAATTAGTGACAGCATGTCACATTTTGCGCTGCTGTATTGTCTTATAAGAAGGTTTTATAAACATTAGGAGCTAGCTAGGCATCTGTGGCTTTCATTAAGTAGACTAGCTCCATGAAAAGATTATTACACCTGGATAGCCCACACTCGAAAGGTCTCGTGAGTAATTTAAAAGTCATCACGTTAAGGATGCTCTGGGAAACTTACTTTAGATGAAGCTCTTGCTCTAAGCGTAACTATCATAATCCATGCTTGAAAATAACAGACAAATTCACAGTTGTATACAGTTTGCAACTAGTAACAAAAACAAGACATGAGACTGGACAATACTTAATTGTTCTAAAAATCTCACCTTTCTCTTTTTACTGTTTCCAAGACGATGAGAAAGAAAAAAATATGAAAAACATGAAAAAAGGTATGCTGAGAAGATAAGAAAGAAAAATCAGCTCGAAAAGAATATGAAGAGAAAGCTAAAAATAACTCAAATGCAATGCAGAGTGATGACTTTTGACATTTATTTCATTTTATACACGGATAATTTGAGTAAAAAGCGGTCAACAAGCCTTGGGCTTCTATCATTTTGAAATTACAAAATGATAGAACCCGGTCAGATGAGAGCATAGAATCACAATCGTAAATTTTTTGATGTGTGTGTATTTTGTAAACGCAACAGATCATAGAGGAAATTTGACGTGTTCTCCTAGCCTCACCTAAACACTCAGAGGCTTTGAGACTTACGAAGGATTCATTTTAAGTTAATAAGTTTGTAATCGATCTAATAATTTCGTTACATCTTTTACTACTGAGTTGGACGACATCTTTTTTCCTTTTGAAAAAAGGGATTTGTTAGAACTGTTTCGAAATCTTCAAACTTGCCTCGTTTTTAAATGAGGCTACAGAAAACAAAAACTGTTCTTGGTTGCTTGATACTACGTGATTTCTGTTGTGGGCCAAAGTTGGCATTTTAAATACTACTCTTACCATTTGAGTTCTTGCTGTTACGCTTTCTTGACTTCCATAAGAAAAAGACAAATATTCCAGCAGCAACAGCCAGTGCAGTAATTGATTCAACCACTGCACCAAAAGTGATCCCTTTGGCACCTTGAAAACACGAGAAAAACAACATATCAATATATGCTTCCAAAAAACTATATGTTTGCAGTCCTCCGCTTAACCATTTTAGTCATGATGGCTTTTTCTTCGCATACAACTTTTTTATTCAGTTCACGTCAAATTACTCTAAAGCCTAGTAAAATGTGAGTTTGATACTCACAGGAAGAAGTCCAACTAAGTATGAGAGCTAAATTACAGGTATTCCACCAGTTTCCTTCCCTTACTTACTCTTTATGACCTTTCAAAAACAATTAGAATTACGAGCCAGCAAAACATATGAAAGTTCTTAGGCATACACTGCACTACAGTCGATAAAAGCTTTTTTTACTTACTTGTCGAGGTTGCATTTCTATGATTCAAGCAGTCTGTATACAGAACATACGTGTATGTAGAAGTAATTTATCAATCATTTCTCTATTATATCAGTGCCGCATGGTTTGTGAGATTTAAATGTAATGTACGTTAGGTCCTGATTTCAATTGTTTTGCTTTCTCAGAAAGTTTGTTACTATTATAATACAAGTTTTTTTATATTCCACGGGAATAAGAGAAACTCCCCATTTATTACTTGGCAGAGTTGATGTAAAGATCTGTATAAAGAACCAAGACAAGCAGAAATAAATGCTAACCACATCGGTCGGAAGGCCTATCGTGCTTGCGACATTTCCTTGCGGTAGCAAAAAAAAAAAAATAGATATGTAATAGTAGCACTGAGAAGTGCACGGGTTGATTTTTATTGGAGGAGATCTTGTTCCCCTTCTAGGACAAGGAATATTGCTCTAGCTCATTAGCTGGCGGAGTTAAGAAACAAAGGCCTCGCGTTATTGTAAGAATAAGAAAAATGTTCAAAAGAGATGGTGAACATACTTGTAATTAAAACACATTCTAATTAACCACTTCACTGGAGAGCATATGAGGAATAAAGATTCCTTTGAGATTTGGCTACCAATCAACTACAGTATATGTATCATAAGACTTAAAACTTACCGCCAGGTAGCGTTATTGTGCCTGCTTCTGTAGTTCTAGTGTCGAAATCAGCTTCCGATCTTGTCCTTTTTGTTGCACTCACATTGAAGTCTCCAAGCTTTTCATCTTTGGCAGCATTACGAAGTACTGCAATAACATCTTTCTCTTTTGTTTTGGAATTAAATTTAAGTGCTAGGTTAACAGTTGTTCTTCCACACCTTGATTAAGACAAAATATGAGGGTCAGAATAAAGAAGAGCGCATTAGAATCCAGAAAATTGTAATTCATTTGCTAATCCAGGCAGTTTGCATACCTAATGCCACTTTTCAACTGCACCCTTCTGAGACCTGCAAATCTCCCAGGAAAAGCCTCTTCCATCTGTTGATGGAAACAACAGCAAACTGAACATGAGATCGAAAGGTTTCTCAAGCACCTTTTTAGGGTGTTACGGAACCAATCAAGAGAATTTTGAATAGCCACAAAAATAGCCACAAAAATTGCCTCAAAAGCCTTTCAGACTTTGGGGAAGGATCCTGTCACGCTAGAACAACGAGCCGACGCTATTTCTTCTATTCCGTGCAATGACTGTGATCACGAGTATATCAGACAACTACTAGAATGTGAACTTTGATGGTTTGACACTTTTGACAACTTTAGTCTTATACAGCCAATCATATTATTTGAACCATTCTAACAGGGATTCTGATTGGCTTATTGCAGCGTACTTTATGAGCGTATAGAGCACGCTGACCGCACTGCTGTTCGCTTTGGAAAGAAAGTTTGTTCTGAAAATTGAAAGTAATGCATAGGGAATTTAACGGATTCTTTATTATAAAACAAATTGAGAAGCCTGACTGTGCTCTGTTCTGTTGTGAAGCAATTAGGAAGCGCTTGAAGCACTCAAGAAGTGGGGAGAAACACCCGTCTACGTACGTTTCTCTCCACACTTCTTTCGTGCTTCAGCCGCCTCCTGCGTGCTTAACAACAGGACAGAGCACAGTCAAAGCTTCCCTATTCGTTAATCATTAAGGTTTTGAACAGCATAAATTTGTTGTAACCCCCAACCTGGGGTTCTCAGACCCAAATCACTAAGACCTGAAAACAAAGACCCTTAAATACTCTTACTCTTGCATATCTGAAAAAAAAAAGAAATGAAGAATAAAGTAATAAAAAGAAACAAATTGGAAGGGCAGGGTTTATGAATTAGAAGATCTGTATTTTTTAATGAATTCGATTTGATTTGTATTTTTCTTCGTTGACCATGTCGACATTCAACGTATCTGCTCTAAAAATAAATCGATTCGGTGATAATTTGCGATCAGAGAATTTGAACGTAACGGACCAATAGATAAATACATCCATCTGCGAAAAAAACGAAGACGAAGTGAAACGAAAAGGTACTTAGCCAAAAGGAGTTCTTTGTTCTCAGGTCTTCGTTTCCGGGTCTCACATCCTAGTCCACTTATTTACGTCCACCGATTGAATTTATGTGAACATACGAAGTATAGCTACACAGTCCAATTTCATGAAAGTTATGCATCGAACCTTATATAAGCTTCCTATCAAATATGGACAAACGGGGTTGTAATTTAGATATTTAACCATTAAAATGATTAAATATTTACTTTGGACTTAAAGCTTCTGAGGGAAATCCAGGTTTCAAGTGCCCCACTAACCTTTGCATGTGAAAGAGTCTGAAGATCCATGCGTCAACTCATAACCATTACTGCAAAGGCAGGCTGAGTTATCTGTAATGTTCCACTCCCTATCACTAAGGCACACGCCAAACAACGTTTTTTTGTTTTTCTTAATCGCGTTAGGAACTGTACATTCTCCTTCCTGTTTGGTTAAATTGATCTCATTTGCTGGGACAATTGTTCTTGGAAATCTAACCAACTTGGAAGGGACCGTTTCAGAGCAGAAACGATATCTTAAAACAAACCTTCTTATTGTCAAGCAGGTTCCTTTGTCTAATAATGCTAAATAAATTCTCTTCGCTTTTGTTACTATTGACCCATCAAATGTGTCTGTAGTGCGCTCCCCAGGCATAGGAAGAATTTTTGGATTTACCACAGTTTCTTTGAGGAAATTTAGTTTTTTTGGGTCTGGATTATATTTGAAATCAGTATGATAAGAATACAGGGAAAAGTTTGTTCCGCAGAATGGCCCCACGTCAGCTGGGGGGCAGTTAAGGAGGGTATAGGTCACTTCAATATCGAGTCGTGTAGCATCCTTGATGTTAATAAAGTCTGTTATTAACCAGTTCTCTGGTACCTCATATTTGTTAGAAGCGTCAGACTGAGTAATATGGCGATACATTTGAAGGATGTGTCCACTGCAAGAGAATAAAAAAAATTTTTTGATCAATCATGAAGTAGTAAAATATTTACTCCAAAAGAGATGGTCTATGCAAAACATGCATGTACGGAAGGTACGCTTTACTAGGAATCCATTTACACCTCGTCAGAAAAAAGGCAGCTAATTAGTGATCATATAAAAGGACCTCTTGTGCAGCGTTTAGATCACCCCTGATGAAGGTACTAGACAGGAGTGTCGAAACGTTGGGCCTATGAATTATAAGCTCTTCGGTTACTTTCATTAAATCTGTAAACCAGAGTAGCATCAAACCATGTCTGATTGTCCACCTGGTTGCCTTGTTAAATTTAATATATTTTAGCTTAGCACTAATTTGCAACACAGAACACAAACGGTGTAGCG